ACATCCTAGCAAAAAACTTAAATTAATCATATACTACACTAAATCTAGAATATCCAACTTAATTCTTCGCAATGATTCTTCTCACCCGGTTAGCCATTTGCAAAAAAACCAACATAGTTTACAAATTCAAGTGCTCTTTGGGAGATTGTCTCTCCAACGGATTTTTATGTTGATCACACAACAAACTCGCTTTCACGACGCTTGGCACTACATTTGATCGATAAAACTAACATTTTCAAGCAATTAAAACAACATGTCTGGCCGCATACACAATTCCGGAAAATCCTTGTTGAAAACACAACTATACTTAAACATGAAAACAATGAACAAAAACTAAAAATTCTTGAAGCTATATACATAAAACAGTTGAAACCTAACCTGAACAAAATAAACTACGAAATCTCCACAAATCTTAAATGCCTATAATTGATAACAGAAGCCTCTGGTTTATACCAACGGCTTCCCATACTTAATACTTCTCGTTTTCACTCTCGCGTGGTCATGTGTGACGCCATGAGCTGTGGTGCGATTTTCGCTTCCAGCGTCTCGTGTGCACGAATTTGTCGTTGCTTGGAAATCTTCCACGTAAACAAAAACAGACTATCATCACTGTCTTGTCCGTGTATTGCTTAATATATTATAATGTAATTGTCATCTTTGATAATGGCTTATGGAAGTTGTGGCCAGTTCTACACAAGCCTTCACAGTTATGATCAAATCATCTGTTTGGTTGTAAATTAGAACTTATGAATGTTGCTCATTCTCTGATACTAAACTCTTTTCTACTAACTATTGAAAAGTTTTAAACTGTATTATAAACACACACACACACACACACATATATATATATATATATATATATATATATATATATATATATATATATAAGCAAAGTGCTCAATACACTAAGTAGAGCAAATCTAACTATGAACCTAAAGAGCCAGGAAAACCTACGTAGGTTTCACCTACGCGGATAGTCAGGTTCATAGTTATATATATATATATATATATATATAATCGACTCGGATGAGGGTCAGGCCGATAAGTCCCCAGGAAACCGACATCCCGACACCGGCACATGAGATTTGATTATAGAGGTGAAGGCCTCGTGCAAGACCATACACTTTTTTGGAGGGACGAATACAGAAACCTGGTGCACCGAATGCATGCCACAAGGTTCCCAAACGACCCTCCGCAGGTTTTGAATTCAGAGTTGTCCTTCTCCTAGACCAGTTGCCATTCAAGGCTATAGAACCCAGTCTGTCCTGCTATTTTACCCATAGCTGGAGGGAGATGAAGAGGATACATACCTTTCCCAAGGGTATTAGCAAGTAAGTGAATGTAATGGATTCGACTGGAATTCGAACTCGGCTCTGCGATTCCTCAATCCAAGCTATATATATATATATATATATATATATATATATATATATATATATATATATATATATATATATATATGGAAACGAATATTGATTCTCATATATATATATTTATATATATATATATATGAGAATCAATATTCGTTTCCCTCTACACCTCGAAGGAGAGACATTGGTTCTTTTTTACATAAGCAGATCAACCTGCATGTAATACTATATATGCAACCGTATATATTAGCTCTATCACAGATGTTGAGTACTTTCCACTAATTACCGCGTATACACGCACAAACACACACACACGCACACACACTCACATATATATAAATTAAATAGGGCAAATATTATTTACGAATTTAAATGCCCATCATGGAATTGTATTCCTGATCAATCAAAATTCGTAAATAATTATATAGGCCACACTACATGTTTGACACGCAGACTCGCTCTACACCTTCCTGACCATAGCTCAATTAGATTCCATTTAAATATTCATGGAGATCTACCGGACACTATTCGGAACATTCTATTCGACAACACTAATATAATAGCATCATCTACATGCAAAAAAAGGCTAAAAATAATGTAAGCCTTATCAATAAAAGCAAACAAACCAACACTTAATAATATTAACTTTGAACATGGACATAATATTTTGACCGTGTTTTAAAACAAAAAATAAGAAAACATTTTATAAAACATACATACAACAAACTATTTCTTATTTCAATAGTTAAAATATAATCCTTGAAAATGGCTAAATGTATAGCCGAAAGCGCTGGGAAAAAAAAAACATTCGGACAGTTTTATATAATTTATCATCCGAAAAGAAAAAAAAATTAGATTGCATGAGAAATTGTATAAAAAAGTAAATAAAAGCACCTTGTCACCTTCAATGAAGTGTGCATGAAGGAAGGATTGCTGTCTAGATAAATATATATATATATATATATATATGTGTGTGTGTGTGTGTGTGTGTGTGTGTGTGTGTGTGTGTGTGTGAACATTGAAGTCAACACTCAGAGGTGACTGTTTCATGCTAAACGCAACCATCAGTTGACTAGCGTTTATATATATATATATATATATATATATATATATATATATATATATATATATATATATATAAACTTTGGTCAGCTAAACTGTAGAATGTGAAGTTGCATGTGATTTCAAAAGTCTTCTCGTTTTTCTAATTGAAATCGCTTTAACTGACAAGCGTCTGGGCTGATTGATCTGGTCTATAAATTAAAAAACAAAAACAACAAATAAAGCAAAAACATCAATGTCTCTCGTTCGAGGTGTAGGGGTGAAACGAATGTTGATTCTCATGATCTGATAAAACATGAAGATTAAGAAGTCATGCTTCAAGGGTATATCCGATAATGAATCCGTTTTTTTTTTTATAATTATCTAATTTCTTAATTTAAACTTGAAAAGGAAGATTAACCGCCAAAGGAAAAGTACTGGCTTCTTCAGATTTCAGTGAAAAGTTGATGAAAAGTAGTTTATAAAGTTGATGCATTTATGAACTTTTGGTATTCGTGAAAGTCATCGAATTGATTTTATCATTATCATTCACTGCATATATTTATATTTTAAGAAGTAAAACTTGAGATAAACCTTTCCAAAACAGAAACTATGATCTGGAGTTATAATGACATTAGTGATATCTTCCTCAAATCCATCATGTACACGTAATAAATATATTACGCTTCAATTATCTTGGTCTATGTATGTGTTATAAAAATAGTATAAGCGATAAGAAGAATGGACATTACACTAAAGGCAGTTTCCCCCAACTAAAGATGGCACAAAACCAAAAAGATTAGCCTAAGAAATCGACTGATTTTCTTATATAACTTCGTCAGATGTAGACTCTCATTTAGTCTAGAAATATCTAAACAATCAACTGTACACAACCGCCTTTCTCAGGTTAAAATGTAAAATGGTATCCAACGAATTAATCCTGTAGGTCTTAATAAGGACAATTCTTTTTCAAAACTTGTGAATTGTCATTACAGAATCAAAAACAAAACGTTTTACCAAATAACAAAACTGCCAACAGCGGCAACAGTTAAAATGGAATGTTGAAGCAAAAAGAAATGGAAAAAATATGTTGAAATTCCGCATTACCTGGAACAAAAACTTAGAAAGGAAACTTCCATCAATAAGAAAAGGAGCAATAACAGTGGACTTGAGAAACAATTTCAAAATATATTTTTTTCAGAGAAAGATTTTATAAATTTCAACGCCAACTGCTCGAACAATGAATGTCAAATAGATGTAGAGCTACATTGATTGGACATTATGGCTGGTTGATACATTTTTTAAAGCATTTCACCCCAAGCAAGGCGGGAAGCCACTATCACGCAAGGGGGTTACAGAGAATTGGAGCGAGAGCAAATAGGAGTGATAGAGGAAAGGATGAAGAGAAGGTTAGCCGATAGATGAGGGCATCTGGAGACGTCGATTGACATTACATTTGAATAGTTGGAGATTATAGCTATCAGGGAAACAGGATAAGGGGAGGGAGTTCCACATGCGAGAAGTGCGAGACATGAAGCTATTGGAGTAGAAGAGACGGCTACATTTAACAGTTTCAACAGTGAAAGGGTGAGAGCGGGATGCCAGACTCGTAGGACGCTTCATGAAGTCTGCGAACCAGCGAAAGCGGCTCATCGGAGCAATTACCATGAAAGTATTTGTAAAAAAAAGACAGAGAGAGGCGACGGCATGTCTGTGAGAGAGCGACTGCGGACACTGCGAATTTTTTCTAAGCTCTATACTAAACATTAAATCTGTTACGAAAAAAGAACTAAACAAAATGGACACAAAACGATCAGCTTTAAAAAAAAAGGACTCGTAACTGGAAAAACCGAATGAAAAAAAGAATGTTAACAACAAATACTTTTCACACCCAACCCAGTTCTGCGGAATCAGAATCAACGTTGAGTTTAAGCAAGTGAATGAGCCAACTGGAGTAAAGTGCCATGCAGATTTAAATTTTTCCCACTTGTGACGAATGCAGCTATCGATTTTTTGCATGCTAGCATGCTAGTTAACATTCGTGTCAGTCAGCTATTGGCTCTCACGCTGGCCAATAGAATCTTCCTGCCTATTCGTGGCAGCCAGCTATAGGCTCTCATTCTGGCCAGTACAAAATGACCGCAAACGACATGAAAACTGCCGTAGAAGCATGAAAAAACTGATTATTTCTACCATCGATGGGAGTTGGGAAATGCAAGGTCGGTCTTGGCCTTTCCACTAACTTGGAGCATGTGCATGTAAAATTTGGTGCAAATCCGTCGAAAATTGCGGCCGTGCATTCGTTACACACACACACACACACACACACACACACACACACACACACACACACACACACACACTGCCTTTTATAGATAGAGGTTTATGAATAAAAATATTGTTTTCTACTTTCTCTAACAGAACGTGACATATTCCTCATAAATTATTGTCAATATTGTTAATAAGGTAGACATTTTAAGATGAAATTTACACTAGACATTGTCCAAACATTTATGATTATATTCTGAAAATTTTATCAACATTGATTAATAGAAATTTGATTGCGAAAACAAAATCTGGCATCATGTACTAAGAGAAGAGACAGATTGATAGAAAGAGGGAATGAGAGAGAAATAAGAAGGAAGGGGGATAAAGAAAGAGGAAAGAGAGGAAAGAGGGAGAGAAGGAGAGTGGAGGAGAGGATGGGGGAGAGGGAGAAAAGTAGAGGGATATAACGAGAGAGGGAGGATTTTTGATTGATTTGTTTTTAACGGCTTATCAACCTTTTACTGGTTATTTAAAATCAGAAAATATTTTTTTAGATTTTTTGAGATTTTTGGAGATAATAATGATTTACTGATACACGTCCTACTAATTAACCCATAGCTGGGGGAGAAAAAGTGTTTTCGTACTTTTCCCAAAGGTATTTGCGTGCAAGTGAATATAACAAACACTTCTGGAATTGAAACTCAGCTCTCCGATTTCGAGCTGTTAACCATTGCACCACCCGCACATCCAAGTTTTTGGTATTTCAAAGTGGAGAGCTTTCTAGGAACTGACTGATGATTGTTTGAAAACAAATATTTCAACGGGATATAGCCGTAAGTCGAGAGAGAAAGGATAAGTGAGAGGGTGAAAGAAAGGTGAGAGAGGGAAGAACAGAGGTAAGGAAGGAAAAGACAGAGAGAGAAAAGGTGAAAGAGAGGGACGGAGAGAGTTAAGAAAGGAAAAGAGAGAGAGAAAAGGTGAGAGAGACGGAAGGAGAGAGATAAGGAAGGAAAAAGAGAGAGAGAAAAGGTGTGAGAGAGACGGAAGGAAAGAGGTAAGGAAGGAAAGAGGGAAAGAGAAAAGGTGTGAGAGAGACGGAAGGAAAGAGTGAGGGAAAGAGAGTTAAGGAAGAAAAACAGAGGGAGAAAAGGTGAGAGAGACGGAAGGAGACAGTGTGAGAAAGAGAGAGGCAAGGAAGAAAAATAGAGAGAGAAAGAAAACGTGAGAGAGGGAAGGAAAGAGCGTGGGAAGTAAGGAAAAGAGAGAGAGAAAAAAGGTGAGAGAAATGGAAGGACAGAGTGTGGAAAAGAGAGAGGTAAGGAACGTAAAGAGAGAGATAGTAAAGATGAGAGAGAGAGGCAAGGAGAGAGTGTGAGGAAGAGGGAGGTAAGGAAGGAAGAGAGAGAGAGAGAAAAGGCGAGAGAGGAAAGGAGAGAGCGTGGGAAAGAGAGAGGTATAGACGGAAGGAGAATGAGAGATAGTTGTTTATGTAAATATTTCTGCAAAAAATATATTAAAATAATATAAATACCAAAATTGCTCCCCCCCCCGCGTAATGTGAAATTATATAAGAGGAAAACTATTTTTTTAAAAAAATGAATTTATTCTGTATAGGAAGAATAATATATGAAACGGAAAGGTTTCCGTCTCTGCATTCCGTTCGGGTGGATGAGGAACATTTTGGCAATTTCCGATTGTGTTGCCTAGATTTCAAGAATTATACAATACCGAAAAAAATCGTAACTTAATCATTATTCCATTGGATTCAATAAAATATTTACAGGCTTACGGCCACATTACGTTGAAACATTTTGTTCCCGTACGATCACAATCGAGACAATAGTGTCTTGGTGTGATAAAAATCTGATGCAATCACGGATAACGCAATATTCTTCAAGGCGAAACAAATTTCATCATACACCCCGAAAATAGATTCATATTACAGCACACCACTGCAAATGACCTAATCTGAGGAAAAAATAAAAATCGATTACACCCTGTCACTCCAGTGGGTCTAAAATTGACCGTATTGTGAAAGGAAACTAAATCGCTTATTTCAATTAATAATGTAAGGATAGATGTTATTGAATAAAATGATATCTATCAATATTTTCATTGCTTTATTTGGATAATGCCATCTATATGTTGTCTAAGTGATAGACATTTCTATATACAGGGTGTATCAAAAATACTTTTACAAATTATGGGTGATAGTTCTTGACACCAAAACAAGGCAAAATGTCCATATATACATATACTCAAAAGGCTATCGTTGTACCTCAACACAGCAATGCATGACAAATGTTCAAAATGTCCACCGCTTGCTTCTACACACGCATGCACCCATCGGATCATTGACTGGTGGACCCTTTCAGATACTCCCACACGGTTTAGAATAGTTTCGAGGCCCCCATGACACACTGATGAAGTGTCTCTGCATTATTAATGTCTGCTGCATAAACCAATTGTTTTTAGGTAGCTCCATCGGCAAAAGTCTCCCCGTTGTCAGTGATCAGACCCGGCATACGTTGCAAATGGCACGGATACATGAACGGCTCTTCAGGTACCCACACTGCGGTACTATGAGATGTACGACATGCTAGGGCCACTTGACGCGTGCTGATACCTGGATCGTCTCCGACAGCCTGTAGAATGTGTTCTTTATGATCAGACGTACTAGCGGATCTCGATTTTCATGGATCCATAGTTTGTGGTGCCACGGATCCTGTCTCAGCAACGCGACGAAAAACAGTAGCAAAGGTTGGATGACTCGGCTGCCTTTGATCTGGAGACGCAATCTGATACAGCCGTGCAGCCTCGCGTCCATTATCATTTGCGCGGCTGTATGTAAAATTCATATTTGCCAGTGCACGAGAGGAGTAACCTGCAATTGTTCAACGGAACACTTCTCAGATAGCTCACTACTAAACACATTAAACGTTGAAAACAGACTAAGCACAAATGTACACAAATGATAAATGTGACGTGTAGTCTGTGTGGCAATACAGCACAATCTACCGTAAACTTTCTTTAATCTGATCAACTCAGAAACAAAGGATTTGTGGATATATTTTTATATGGACTTTTGTCTTTGTTTTTGTGTAAGTTTGTAAAAGTATTTTTCATACATCCTGTATAAGATAACTTTTGGGAATTAAAACTTAGATTTATTTACATATTCATTGCTATACTGGATCTATCAATCCTTAGCTGATACCATCTACATTTCTATTAGAACAACCATTCAAGATTCTATACAAGATGACATGTTTCAGTTTGGTAAATCTTAGATTTAATATATTAATTTCTACCTTGAATATTTGAGCCATTCCATAATTCCATCGGTTTAGGTTTACCATTAGAATTTGCTATATAAGATGACTTATGCTTTAGTTTGATAAATAAAATTAAATTTCTTAACACATTCACTGCTACTTTGAATTTCCGAATCCTGACATTAGTTCGTCTATATTTTACTCGCGATAAACATATAAATTGTTCTATAAGATTGTTTATTTATTCCTATGGTGAATAAGTATATTTAATTCTACCTTTTTACCAACATAGTCAATGCTACCTTTGACATTTGGATCCTTATACAATGCCATCTATGTTGTTGTCAGTTACTAACAGAGTCTGCTATACACCAAATTACCTATTCTTCATTTAAAGTAAACATTTTATAAATAATCCAAGATTTACGCCAACTTCGAAAAGTTCAGATGTGGAAGATTTTCGAGTGACACCTCTAGCACCAAGGAAGAAGAGAGAGAGAAAAAAAAAGTACACCATCTTCAATAATGATTTCAGTGCAAAAGCAAGGCTAAGAAAAGAGATAAAATCGAATATAAGAAATGTTGAGAAATGTGATCAACTTGGAACTTACGTGGGTTGTGATTGGTTTGAAGTATGGACCCGTTGGCATTACTTTCGGAGTTGGATAAGTGGGGTTGGTTTGGAATATGGATAAGGGTGATCGATGTTGAGCTTCGATTCGTGTGGCTAATTTGGAAATTGATGGGTGGCATTCCTTTTTGGAAGCTGTTTTTTGTTTTATTTACAGTTTGGATATGTGTCGTTGATTTAGCGTTCCAATGATTTTAATAGAATTAGACTTCGATGGTTGTGCTTGATTTTGAATGTAGATGAGATCGATTTGGAATTTGATAGGGTGGGGTTTGGCTTGGAGCCTAGGTATGATGAGAGGGAGGTGAAAATTGATTGGGTGTGGTTGGTTTGGAACTTAGATGTGTGTGGTGGATTTGAAGCTTTAATAATTATAGTAGATTTGAAAGTAAAATTTCATTGGTGTTCCGGTAAGAGTTGTTGGTTTGTCGATTGATTAGATGTGCATGACTTTGAACTTTTATGGGCGGGGGGGGCGATTTATAGCTTGAATAGATGGGACTGCTTTGGAATGGATGGGACAACGATTTGAAACTTTGAGGACATTTTGATTTTAAATATATATACAGTGTAACCCGGATATAAGAGAGTTGTCGGGACCGGAGAAGAAGTCTCTTATAACCGGGTTTCTCTTATATCCGGGTTTGGTCTAATTTATATACATTAACGCAGGCTCTAATTTGGGACCAGAGAAAATCTCTCTTATATCCGGGTTTCTCTTATATCCGGGTTTCTCTTATATCCGGGTTACTCTTATATCCGGGTTTGGTCTAATTTATATACATTAACACAGGCTCTAATTTGGAACCAGAGAAAATCTCTCTTATATCCGGGTTTCTCTTATATCCGGGTTTCTCTTATATCCGGGTTTGGTCTAATTTATATACATTAACACAGGCTCTAATTTGGGACCAGAGAAAATCTCTCTTATATCCGGGTTTCTCTTATATCCGGATCTCTTATATCCGGGTTACACTATATATATATATATATATATATATATATATATATTGGTTTTAAATTAGGATGTATTTGATTTCAGCTTGGATGAGTGTGGTTGATCTGGTGGTTGTTAGGTGATATCAGTTTTGAAGACTGCATTGGTATTATCGAAACTAACTTTGTAGAACTGAACCCTTTCATTCGTTCGATAGGGTAGACTGTTCTAGTTCGACGTGTCATGTCTAATGGATGTCAGTTATCAGTTATCTCATGTTTATTTCCCTCTCCAGATTCTCCACCGCCTTAACCAGGAGATAACTGATAACTGACATCCATTAGGCATGACACGTGGAACTAGAACAATCTACCCCATCGAACGAAATAAAGGGTTCAGCTCGATATTCCGACCACCTGAAGAAGGCCGGAGCGTACAACGGCCGAAACGTTGTGATAAATATGGCGACAGAGATGAGGATGATAATCCGAACAATGTAAATAGAGTACATAATACCTCATCTCCGAAATATCGACAGATACTGGTGCAACAGTTTGATGAGTTTTACTGGTTTTTCAACCTTCATATTATTACGAATGGCATGAATTAATCTCGGAAATATAGGCAGATAGCCAAGGTAACGTTCATTAATATTTTCATGGCGTTGGATCCGTGACGACTTTTTGATTACAGATTTCTTTCATAAAATAAAGAAAATTGTTATCAAATTCGGGGAGAAAGTCAGATATTTTCATAAGTTCTGCCTCAATGTTGGGTAATGCTTTATTGTGGCTTAGTTTTTAATATCTTTCTTTATTTCCTCATCAGTAGATTTATTATCATTCATGTTTTGAAGACGGTCTTTGTGATGATTGGATGTATATTGGTATATATTCGATTTCTGTCGTTATCTTTAGTTTTGTGTCATCAAGGTTGAAATGTGGTTCAAAGTGTTTTTTTTTTAAACCAGGACATTACTTATGTGGTTGTTTGAATTCTATGATTTAATTTTGATGTTTCGCGCTTTACCCCTACATTGGAATTCATTGTCTATGCTGCTTGGCTTCATTAATTTCGTTTTCAATTTTGCGAAGATATTCGTTTCTCAAAGAGTTAACTTTAATTGTTTAGTATTTTCCCTTCCTTTTTCTTCCTCTTCTGTTTCTTTCTTTCTTGTATCAATGTTTTCAACTCAGTATGGTCTTCCCATGGTAGTATCTTTTTCCTTGTATATCTTCTTGGAATTGTTCCACGCGCTTCAGCTAATAAAGACCATTATTTGATTCCTCTATTTTGTTTTGATCAAGATTTACTGGCAGCAATTTGAACTGGATTCTAAATTAATACTTTCATTTTTAAGGGCTTGGATGTTACACACAGATATTTTTCGATGTTTATATGAGCCAAAGCGATCTATTTTGTTGGTTGTTACTGTCAGCTTAGTAACAAGTCGCTTGTGTCCAGAATCAAAGTAAATAAATTATACTCTAACGTGTCACGAACGGAAGAGTCTAAGATTTCTCCATTGCTTTCTGAAGCTTTCGTTTCAAAGTGTGATGCCTTCTTAGCGTCAAAGGAGAAATGACGTTCAAAAATACTTGAGGAAGCATTAAAATCCTTATTAATAAACAATTGTCTGTTTTTTTTTTTCTAATATGTAAAGCTGGTTTAATCATATATTATTTAGATTATTCGGACTATTGTCCTCATCTTTGTCCCCATATTTATTACGACGTTTCCGCCGTTGTACGTTCCGGCCTTCTTCAGGTGGTTGGAATGTCGAACTGAACCCTTTATTTCGCACACTGGGGTAGACTGCTCTAGATCCACGTGCCATGTTTAATGGACGTCAGTTATCAGTTATCTCTTGTTAATTCCCCTCTCCAAGTTTTCCACTGCCTTAACCGGGTATTGAACTCACACTCTTTGGGTCTTGAGCCTGGATCTAACGAACACCTTTATCCACTGTGCCATGTGGCAACAAACATAAGGACAATAGTCCGAATAATGTAAATAGTGTACATAATACCTCATCTCAGAAATATAGTGAGATACATAGATTTTTTTATAGTAAAATTACCAACAATAAATTTTATCTGTTTATTTCTGACGATATATATGTATACTATTTACATTATTCGGACTATTGTCCTCATCTTTGTCGTCATGTTTATCACAACGTTTCGACTGTTGTATGCTCCGGCCTTCTTCAGGTGGTTGGAATTTAGAACTGAACCTTTTCTTTCGTTCGATGGGGTAGACTGTTCTAGTTCCACGTGCCATGTTTAATGGATGTCAGTTATCAGTTATCTCCTGTTAATTCCCCTCTGAAAGTTCTCCACTGCCTTAACTGGGTATTGAACTCACACTCAAGGATATATGGCACAGTGGATAATGGCGTTAGTTAGATCCAGTGACAGGACCCAAAGACCATTACATCACCCGCACGTCCACGCTTACAGCACCTGGTGTTCCCAAGCGATCACCCATCTAGATATTGACCAGGCTTGACGTTGCTTAACTTCGGTGATTGTACAGGGATCAGTGTTTCAGCGTGATGTGGCCGTTAGAACATTACACCACCCGCACATCCCCGCTTACAGCACCTGGTGCTCCCAAGCGGTCACGCATCTAGGTATTGACCAGGCTTGATATTGCTTAACTTCGGTGATTGTACGAGGATCAGTGTTTCAGCGTGATGTGGCCGAATGACCATTACACCACTCGCACATCCACGCTTACAGCACCTGGTGTACCCATGCGGTCACCCATCTAGGTATTGACCAGGCTTGGCGTTGCTTAACTTCGGTGATCGTATGGTGATCAGTGTCTCAGTGTGATGTGGCCGAAAGACCATTACATCAGACGCACATCCAAGTTTATAGCAGCTGGTATTCCGAAGCGGTCACCCATCTAAGTAGTGAACATCCTCGACGTTGCTTAACTTCAGTGATTGAACAATTATTAATTATTAACAATTCCGATCCATCCAAGGTTACAACACATGGCATTCCGAATTGGAGGACATAACTTTTGAACGTAATATAAGTTACCCACTGTCTTATCTAAACAAAAGAAATGAAGAATTCAAACTAATTCAACAGTAATAATAATATTCGCTAAACCGTTTAATAGAAAACCAATTATTTTAATCCCGAGAAAACATTTACGTCGACTTTACACAAGTGATTATAAAATAAATACCAAATTACGATTATATTCGTTAATTGACAAATCATTTCGCTAATTTCAGAGAAACCCGATTTAAAAAATAAATATACAGGTTGTCCATAAAGTTCGTGTGCACTTTAAAAAATTTATAACTTTATTTGTATTTGCGATAGAAATAATTTGTAAAAATGATTAGAAAGAAGTAAACCTATATCTTTTTACGGTTTTATTGAAATTTCATTTAAGTTTCCACATGTCCTCCATCATTAGCAATACAAAGGGTAATACGATTTTGCAGTTCACGGAAAACATTTGCCAACTGATTTACAGTAATGCCTGAAATCACATTAGTTATTTTAACTATCCTTAAAACTAGGTACATTAAACTTTATAACATTTTTACAGATTATTTCTATCGCAAATACAAATAAAGTTATAATTTTTTAAAATTGCACACGACCTTTATGAACACCCTGTATATACTTTCTCCATCGACTGATGAATTGGCAAGATGGCTTAAGAGAAGCACAATAATTACAATCATAAAGTCTGTTTCAGAGGAAAGTTCTAAACTTTTAAATACAAAGAAATCCTTACCGCTACTGACACTCAGTTCCGTTGGAATTATTCGAAACGAGAATGCAAGAATTGAAGTGAAAAGAAATATCTGAAATTTAATTCTAATACGCTTTTAGCATGTTGTTTATTAAATCAGAATAGATTTCAACATCGACAATCAGGAAGTTCTGTAGAACCTATACAAATGAATTTCATGCTGCAAGCTTATGTGGATACGAATATATCATTAATATATTTCTTGACATCTAGCAGTTTTATGGAAATTCTGTAGCATCCCCATTTGTTCAGTTAGCGCCATTTGCGCTGCATTGTTCACCAATCCCTTGCACCGGCGATGTTGAGGTTATCTCTACCTTTCTCTCAGAAGTTACCCCGCCCACTGGTAAAGCCGTTGATCTCTGAGGTGCAGATCCTACGCCCAGGCTGGCAACTGGTCGATGGCCACGTGCCACACGTAGTCTGGACAGAGGCAGTCCTCTTCACCGGTTAGGCCAGGAAAACCATCTGACTAACGTCACAAAGTTTATCTGGCAGTTCGATACTGTTGACCAGGGCGTGGCTGTTGCATTATCCATACGATTTTTTGCAACCATTTGTGAGTTGGATGTAATTTTCTTGGGAGCATTAATAATTCTTTTTACAAAAATGTATAACTGGTAATATTTTTTTTTCAAAAATGTGTTGCCGGTACTTTTACTATAAAAAATCTATTTTATACTTTTATAATGTTTTCACCCTAGTCTGGAAGCTTTGGGGTTAACTATGTGCCTATAGCTGGGATCCTAACAGGTGCTACCACCCCGGGTCAGGGTGGACTTGGGAACAACAGCAATTAAGAGGTGGTTCCACGCTCCTCAAAACCTCTTTATCAGTGGCCTTGCTGCCGGATGTAGTTTATCGTCATTACAAGGACGCTAGGATTTAGCCTGAGACACTTCTTTAACGCAATAGCAAAAACATTTTGACTTAATGTAGTTTTTACTTGGATTTAGGCCAAGATTGTTTTTAAATTTTATTTTTAACTTGGTTCTTTTTTTTAAAGATTCTTTGCAAATGGCTAAGTTGACGTTTGACAGGCGCTTAAATCTTGATTTTCTCTCTCCATCTCACCATTTCTTTTTTAATGTTTTACGATGCTGTTATGAAACTCTATTTGACTTTAGTAATATTCGACCTAACGTTTATGACTTCCTCTGAATTTAGTCTAAAGATATCTAGAACGTATTAACTTTTGATATTGATATTGTCACTATTTATAATGCATATGCAATGGGATTATGAAGCCCCCCTGCCGTCAATTTTTCATTATATAAATACTTATAAATAAAATGTATATTATTATTGGACCCATATTTTCTCCCTAATCAAATGTCGATATATCTAGAATGTATTAACATTTGACGATGATATTGTCACTATTTATATCGCAGTTGGAATGAAGAGGCCTTAGTATCAGTTTGTAAGATTTCAATTCAAATAAATTTTATAATATTCGACCCAACTTTTATGACTTTCCCCGAATATACTTTTAGTATATCAAGGATTTATTAGCTTTTCATGCAAATCTTTCACTGTTTATACAGCGGTCGTTATTGGGTTAACATAGGCCCCTGTTTCTTTTATTCACCTATATTAGAATAAAATTTACATGAAATAGAGAGTCATGCCGGTAATATTAAAAAAAAACACAATTTGATGAGTTGAGTAAATTAATTATCTTCCTTGACAGATCATACCGGATGATTCTTGATCCTATTTTCGAGTGTACGGAGATTATGCAACGAAGAGACTTTTCTAATTTATCAGCTCACAAATAAGAGACTGGACGTAAATCCACATGGGCTCTTAGTGTATTTTGAGCGATATACGAATATATTGATCCACGTCATTTGGCAACGGGTTTATTTTTGTCTGTATGCAGCAACAAAAAATAGAGCGTCACTCAGTTAATGCGTGGGAAATTTTCCAATAGGCCATTCGTTTGTTCGCAAATCGTTTGTTCGATATTTATTCTCAGTGAAATTCTGCTGATTTCTAATGGCTGCAGTCAGTGTCATGCACCGAATTACGAGTTCTTTTTTCGAATAGAGAGTCCACCAAGGAATTGCGCAGAAGACACAACTCAAAATAATCTTAAAGATGTCTTTTACCCCCTGATTTGATTGTCTCTAGCCCATCCATGAAAAGACGATAAACATTTTTATTGTTTGAATTGTGGAGAAGGTGTAGAGTGAGGGAGACTCACAGAAGTTAGGATTGTACACACAGGAATTACCGGAGACAAATCTTCAGTGAATCTCTAGCCAACCTTTCTGCCCAGATCAAGAATCGGACCGGTTAGATAACATTTGGACACCTACGCAACTTAATATGGCTGCACCTTCTTTCGGTAAGTTGCCTACGCAACTTCGTGTGGCCACACATCTTCCGGCATGCGGCCACGCAAGCACGCATTTCTTCCTATTCAGGACACCTATTCGCCCTGTGTATTCAAGGCTCAGGATACCTGTATGTCTTGTTTATTTTAGCAACCAGATGCATTCCGATTTCGGCTCACACATTGATGCAGCGGAAATAAGGCCAAAGGTCTTTCTTCAACCAATATACAAACACTACCTTAAGTGGACACTGGGCATTGTAAAGGGTGAACCTCATTACCGCGAAAAAATCGAGACTGCAACTTCTCAGATCTTATTTGAGTTCAAAGGCGTGTACGCAGCTCTGTGGGCGATAAATTATGTTCCACTCTACAACCACTGTCCCACAGACGAAATATTGCAAGCTACTCTATCGTTATTTCCATGACAAATGTTGTGACGATCTACATTCTTTAGTTCAACCAGTTCAAACTTTACAGCTAGGATCTGTATTGCAACATCCACAGGGTCGAATCCATCTTACCATACAGCAAATACGGTATTTTAATCTTTTGATGAAATATACTTTGGAGTAATAATTTTCTATTTTTATCGAACCTTATTCAATATTTTTCTCTATTTTTAATAAATGCTCACTCAAAACAAGTGTCGGGAGCCACTCAAGGTAGAGGGTTACTGAGCGATGCTGGTTTATGGTGTAAGAGGTGGACGTAAGTAAAGTTTATGATAATAAATAGGATACATAACGGTTGATCGTAGACGTGAATATGTGAAGATTGTAATGATCAAGAAAGCATCTACTCGGGAGCTTGTCCTCCAAAGTAGCTGTCCTCATGAAGCAGCAGGCATAGGATAGCATGTTCAGATATTATCGGGAGCTAATTCTTTACTATTTCAGATTTGCCGTAGATCAATGGTATGGTTACGAAAATAAGAAACTAAAAACTAAGATAAACGAAAAATTACTCGTTAAAAAGGAAACAATAATAATAGATTTATTTTCCGAATAGGTATTTATTTACCTCTAAATGTTACACTGAGTTCTTGTTCATCATTCGTTCTCGATATTGACTTAGTCACGCCATTATGGTTGCCAATAGGTGAATCGCAAATCTCGTATGTGATCTCTTATTATCTCGTAGTCTCCATGCGGTACATATAAACAAATTACTCAATTCTCAAGGCACAATAGAGTGTATTATTCTAGTTTTAAGTTATATACTTTTGCCTATGATGTCAATAAGTTCGGAGGTGGAGGAAGTTAGCAGTTCTAATAGTTTTAGTGTAGCAACACAATTATACAAAAGGTATTCATAGTTTCTCTCTAGTATGGAATTGTACATTCCTTTTCCCAGTGTCCATACTTATTACAGTGCTTCCTAGTAACACTAATCGATAGCAAATGCCAATATATATATATATATAAATATATATATATATATATGTGTGTGTGTGTGTGTGTGTGTGTGCAAATATAAAGAAAAATAGTTAAGAACACGTTAGGTAAATAATCCGAAGTTCTTTAGTATTTATGTTTTTATTTAAAAAAAGAAGAAAACAGTGCTCAATACATGAGTAGAGCCTAAATTATACTTATTTTTTTAAAATATGATTCCTTCGCTACATAAGAGTTCTCATGTTTCAAAACATTAGCTCCTGTTTTAAAACATTTAGCTCCTGTTTTTGAAACATAAGACCTCTTATGTAGCGATGGAATCATT